AGGATGGAGTAGATGGCTCTCCACGCCGGCGTGCCAGGTTCGTCCAGGTCGGTGACAGCCAGCCGGGCCACCTCCCGCCCGGCCACGTTCTCCGGCACGGTTGCCTCATACTGTGGGTCAGGGCCATTGTCAGCACCATGGCCTGGAGGGCACTGAGGAGGGTCCCACCTGGTGGGGGGCCCACGTTACCGTTTTGGGATCGAACTCAGGGACATTGTCGTTGATGTCGGCGATCTCAATGACGGCCAGTGCCGTGGTGGTCAGTCCCTCGCCATCCAGGTCGGCTGCCTGCACTGTCAGTGTGTACTCCCGCACACGCTGCCAGGGATGGAGACAGACAGACACCCTGTCAGTCCCCTGCCTGGGGCTGGGACCCCCACCCTGCAGTACCACAGAACACACCTCCCGGTCGAGGCCGCTGGCGATGACACTGAGGGTGCCGGTGCGCCGGTTGACAGTGAACATTTGGGGATGGGGCTCCCGTGGCTCCTGGCTCAGGATGGAGTAGGCAATGACACCATTGTAGGTTTCCACTGCATCATCCGCATCTGTGGCTGTCACCTGCATCACGGAGGTGCCTGGGGACAGGGATGTCTCTGTGACCGGGGTGTGGGGGGATGGTCCCAGGGCTGTCCCTGAGGGACGTGGCTGGCAGGATGCAGAGCTCCCCCAAGGCTCAGGGTCCTACCTGGCAGAGCTCCCTCCAGCACAGAGCCCCTGAACACCTCCTGCGTGAACTGAGGCTTGTTGTCGTTCTGGTCCGTCACGGTCACAATGATCTCCATCGGCTCCTCCACTGGCTTCCCATTCTCAGACATGGCGTGGGAGAAGAGCTGTGGGGCAGGGGGGTGAGTAGGGGATCTGGCATGGTACTCTGACACCCCCCAGTGCACCCCAGCAGGGACCTACGTGGTACTTGTCGATGTGCTCGCGGTCCAGCGGCTGCGTCACCTTCATCCAGCCTGACTCCTTCTCAATGGTGAAGATGCCCTCGGGGGGGGCATCTGCTCCCTGCCCTGTGATGCTGTAGAAGATCTTGGTGTCTCTGTCCCGGTTGGATTTGATCTGGGAGGACACATGGGGAGGGGGTCAGTACCCCCCACCCCTGCCCCAATGCAGCAGGGATGGACATCCCAGCACCCACCTCTGTGCCCAGACCTCTAGCTCAGATCAACCCCCTCTTACCTGAACCAGTTTTTTGGGGAAGGGGCCCCTCTCGTTTTCAGGAACCTTGATGGGGGGGATCACCCAGTCCCTCTTCTGCCTCCTGAGAGCGGCGTGAGTCCTGGGGAGCTCCTGTGGGATCGGGATGAGTGAGGGCACAGCTGGCTAGGGGGGCAGGGGATGGGGAACACAACAGGGCAGGATTACCTGGGGGGAGCGCCTGCTCTGCATGGGAACTGGAACACGGTCCGGCTGTCTGGCGGCATCCCAGGGGGAATCAGCATCTGGGAGGGGTATGGCGAGTGCTCTGCCCACCCTCGGCAGTTGCATGGGGCCCGTGTCCTTCTGCACCCCAACATCGCACTCCTCGGTCCCGCACGGCCCCGTGCAGCCTCTGGAGCTCCCTGCGAGGGTGGAGGGTCAGGAGGCTGGGGGGGGACCTGTCCCCCAGCACGCCCAGGCAGCAACCACCAGCTCCAGGACCCGCAATCCCCCAGAGTCCCGAGGCAGAATGGGGCAGGGGACAGTGGGAGTGGGGTAGGGGACAGTGGAAGCGGGGTAAGGGACACCGGGAGCCGAACGGGAGTGCAGTGGAAGTTTCGGTGGAAGTTTCGGCTTTGTTTCACAGATGATGGGAAATTCCTGGGCGGGCAGAGCCCTGCCCCAGCCCCCTCCCGGTGCTGTGTC